AATAGCTTCTGATTCCATTTTATTTGCTTTCCTTTTCAGATTTTTGTAGGAATTTTGGCTTCTTCTAATATTCTGTTATCATTTTTAGTTTGCATGTCCTGCCTCTAACTAAAGAAGACCAACTATATACTGCATAGACTCATAAAGACCAAACCCTTACACTATAAAGTATGTTGTGTCTCATGCTATCATCTTATGTGCCCTTGCTACTCGTTCTTTCTCATCATAGATGGGTGGTCAGCCTCCTGGAGAGCGTCGCTTCTAAGCCAGCTGGCAGATCAGCTTTTCAGAGACGGCGAGAGGTCTTTCCAAAACAGATCAGAGAGATTAAACAGCAATTCACACTGAGATATGATCAGGCCACCGCTTTATGTGCCGTCACCCTTCGCAAAATATAGACCCAGCAGAAATAGTCATGTAGACTGATGAGCTTACATTAATGGAAAAATGTTTTATACCTATAATCACATCATTCAGTTAAACATCAAATTTAAGACTGTGTGTGTATTTCATTGTTTTTCTATGTACCGAGAATGAAAAACGCACCAAATGTCGGAACAGTAAGGCTGAAATAATCACTCAGTTTTCACTAAAGACCATCGCTTTATTTTCACGACTTGATTACTCAGCCACTTATTTAATTTGCTTAGTCAAGCAGCACAAAGAGACAACATCTGTTATACAACCCTGCGCATAATGGGGATTACAACGATTCATTCATATTTTAATCAAACTTTGTTTGCTTAGGTTAACTGATAATCCTTTCTATCCGCATTTCAAGAAAATCAGTTTTCCACACATCCATTTTACAAATATGCCTCCAAAATGTGTACGGAATAGGAAACGTGGATCATTGGGGTATTGATTTGGATATAGATAAACCCAAAAAGCCTTGTTAGCAACTGTGACGGGGAATATGTGAATAATATGACTTTAAAATCACCAAGAAACCTCTAGGCCAACTAAACCCAGAGTTACATGACCTCTAAAACATCATGGAGCACAGGACGGGGACAACATGCATGAAAAAGGAGATGCTGAAATTCCTGCAGAACAAACAGACAAAGAAGAACGGACAGGAAGAAACTTTCAAAGTGATTCTTCAATTGAAGTGTATACATCAAGGTTGCCCGAGTCAAAACTGCTCACATCATACGTTTTTTAATCAGTTTTATTTGACATGAAATCAGGCTATAGTTAATTGCATCACACTCATCATTGAACACATCATCAATGTTGTCAGACATAACATTATTCGAGCCAAGTTAATCATAGTGATAATAATTATCAGTGTATAAGTGTTAGGATTTGAGTGCAACGTACACAGGAAAAGAAAAAAGATGTACCAAAGGCTGACGGGGAAAGAGACCATCAGCTGAGGTGTGCGTCCTTCATAATTAGTGCTCAGTGCTCAGAGTCCAAATTAACCAAAACCTCCGTCCTGTTTAAAATCACACACACACACACACACAGGTGTGAACTTGAGGGGGGAAAATACACTCATACACACACGGTTGAATTTGTGCCATACGTGATACGGCTTCAGCCAGCATACTAGAGACTGAAAACCTCGCAGGAGCGTGCTTGAGGAGGAGGAGTCAGGGGTTAATTTGGAGCTCCGGGGCCCTCTGCAACTCCCATTCAAATCCAATGGAGTGTAATCATCAGGTCCTTTCTCCAGCATGAATAAACATTCATTTAAAAATAACAGACGACCTCCATCATAACTCCACGTTCAGCTTCAGAAAAAATAAAGTAAGTGTGCCGTTTAAAGCACGTTTAAAAACTTCTACTAGAGTTTGTGGTACCCGTCTGTTCTCTTACAGCTGAGACTGGTCATCTAGAGAGGTATTGACTAACTATTAGCTTCTGAGGACATACATAAAAAAAGCCCTTCAGTGATTTCAGACATGCAGATAGGAATGTTGTGACGATCAACAGCTTCACTGTTATTGAATAATGACACCAGAGAATGGAAGGTTCATTCCATGTCAACCCAGTTTAGCTTAATGCTTCTGGATAATTTACTAATTAAGCTTAAGAACAACATAAATATAAACAGACATATAAATACCGCTGGCTCCAGGCCAGAGTCAGTGAGTGGATTTCCACCATTTGTTCTCTGCTCAGAGAAGTTTTAGCCTTTGTTCCAAATATTTATAATAGCTGACTTGTTATTCCCTTGATTTTGAAGACTTCAATCAAATGATTCAACATTATTTAAAAAAAAAAAAAAAAAAAGGAAGAGAGAAAAAAGATTCAAAGTGCTTTTCCTCACTGCATAGCATACTGTACTGTAAGGATCCAGCCACAGGGTCTGCTTTAACACAACTCAGATGCCCCAGGAAGTTAAAGAAACTAACTCTAGAGTATTTACAAGGCGTTTAACCCCAACAATCCTGTCAAGTGTTACATCACATGTCTGAGAACTGTGGTTCCTCCTCCGCTCGGAGAGCTAGACGGATTTACGACAAAGGTCACAGAAAATGGTACAAAACTGACTTTTGTACAGCTCTGAGGACATGTTGTGTCATCATACGCAACAAACACACGCAAAAAAAAAGAAAAAACAAACACGTGATTCCAGGTTAAAACAAATGCTAGGAATAACCGACGACCACTCTTCAAGTCAAATATGCTAAGCAGCTAGCATCTCTGTGATGGACACACTCAGGATGGAGGATGGCGTGCAGCAGTGGGTGCTGGTGTGTTTCACGCGGCGGGGGCGGGAGCCGCCGTCCGGCCAGAAAGAGGTGGAGATGCGTGTGAAGATTGTGTGTCTTCACAAGGACATTAACACACATCTGAACGGCGGGAAAAAGAGAAACACGAAGATGACGGCAGCTCCACCCAATCGCTAACGTCTGTAGCGATGATATGTTAAAAAGCTGAAAGTCTGATCGCTGTCATCAGTGTCGTGGATGCTGATCGGTGATGATCTGTTGCAGCCCTTTTCTCTCCGTCGCTCTGGGTTACCTATTAGGTTTTTATATTGCTTTGTCTGTCCTCTACATGAACATGATTGATGAAAAATGTCCTGGCTGTAAAAGTGAGTGGTGTTAACAGAGGCCGTCCCTCTGTGTATTTTAGGTCTCTGGGTTGGGGGTCGCCAGCAGCGGCACATTGTCCCGTCTCCTCCTGCCCAGCGGGGGGCGTCTGTACTGCTCACCGTCGGCCAGCGTCTGGGGTAGCGGCTTCCTCTTGCTCTCGGGCAGCAGCAGGATGGACAGCACGGCCAGCAGTGCCAGAGAGGAGTAGACGACGTGGTGCAGGAAGTAGCCGTAGTGGTTTCGCAGGTCCATGAGAGGGGAGCTGAGACGGCCCACGCAGCCCAGAGCGAGCACGGCTCCTACACCGCTCCCTCTGCACACACACACACACACACACACACAGTTAACTGACAAGATTTACTTACACTTAATACAATTTCTGCTTATCTTTTCATCAATTATCATTTTTAATAATAATAATAATAATAATAATGGATTGCATTTATATAGCGCTTTTCTAGGCACCCAAAGCGCTTTACAATTCCACTATTCATTCACACACTGGTGCAGGCAAACCACAGTTGTAGCCACAGCTGCCCTGGAGCAGACTGACAGAAGCGAGGCTGCCATATCACGCTATCGGCCCCTCTGAGGAACACCAGTAGGCGGTAGGTGAAGTGTCTTGCCCAAGGACACAACAACCAGGACAGAGAGAGCTGGGGGATCAAACCGGCAACCTTCCAGTTATAGATGAGCTTCCCTGAACCACAGTCGTCCCATTTTTCCAGTTTTCTTTAATGGTAAACATGGTGACTCAGTTAAGCCTTTTGTTGATGACTCTATAACTAGGTTCAGCTGTTGTGTTAGCCCAAGCTTATTGTAGTTAATTACAACTAAACTAAATGTGAAAAAAACATTTTAAGTCAAAAATAAAATAAAAAAAATTTGAAAAAGAATCTAAAATTAAAATTTTGTGAACTTAAAAACTTCTTAGTTTTAGTATCTGTTAGTTTGGCCAAATTTATTATCCCACTTTGCCTCATGAGGCTGCCACGCTCGCGATTATTGAGATTTTCAAACAGTGTGTTTTTTGTTATGCCTGTACTGATGTTCCTAAATCTTGCCTCTGGTATGATCCCTGAACACATTAATACTTGATAAATACCATACCATACCACCTTTATTTATAAAGCACTTTAACATAAAACCAGAGTTCACAAAGTGAACTCTGGTTAATAAATAAACAAATAAATAAGCAAAAAATTAATAAAACTAAAGGCTAAACTGAAATGACTAAAGCTGCTCTGGAAACCAATTAAATTTAAGTGAATTAAAACAAAAAGTCAAAAACGAAAGAAAAAATATTTACAAAATGCAAAACGCACAGCTATAATAACTATAAAGATTTGATGAACCCAAACTCATTAAAAGTCTCAGCTTATTACATCTGTTACAAATAATGATTTTTTTAGGGGGGACCGATGCCTCCTTTTCAGGCCTCGGGGAGGTTTTCGGAGCAGGTCGTCCTTCCCGTCGTCTGTTGGGCGCTGATTGTTTTGCCCTCACACAGAGTTGGAAACGATGCTTGTTTGTAGATCTCACTGTACTTCAAAGTATTCTCATCTCTCTTCTCCACAAAGTCAATTATTTTCTTAGATAACAGATCGATTTTTTTTTATACCAAATCTGGAAAAATACTTCCATTGTTTTTGAAACTCCTCCTACTTAGAAAGACAGCTGTTGTTGTGGTATCAAATTGTTTAATTTCCTCTCTTTAACATTTGCTGCATTTCACATGTTGTGATTCATTCTGGCAGCCCGCACACGCTCTTACTGACAGAAAAACATCAACGCCTTCTACGCTGGCATTTCTTTTTCACCTACACTACAAGAAGGACAACATCGTAGTAAAAGAGCTGCAGAGTGACTGTAGAGTGCTGCTGTGTTACCTGATGATGGTAGGCATGACCTCTGCAGTGAAGAGGATGCAGAGGGAGGCGGTGGCTTGGGAAGAGAAGAGACCCAGCACTGAGAAAATCGTGATGGCCGTCTCACTGAGATCTAACAGGGGGGAGGAGAGCAGGGATAACCTTTGAGGTGTAGCATTTCTACCATGCATCTATCATGACATTAGTTTTTCTAATTTATGAATCAAACTGCAACATCTTGCTTCCATGAGCCTTTGCAGATCATAGGGACCAATAAACATCCACTGAGAGGATCCACAACACTCACCACTGTCCTCTCAGGCTTTGATGCATGATTAAAGCTCAGGGCCGGACACAGCTTTGACTTTGCTGTCACTGCAGTGTCCTACATAAACTGAAAGCCATACTCGGTTTCAGCCACAAGGGGGAGACCAAGATTTGGGCAACAGCAGATTTTCCATAGACAATGTTGTCGAGGGGGAGCAAAAATTAAAAAACACAGGTCGGGTTTTTCCATTAACAGGGCTGAGTGGTTTGCTCCTAATACACTTCATAATGCCTGAAGTGAGAGCAGTAGGATGTGTGAGAGGGATGGATCCAACATGGCCCCAGAATCAGCATCAACTTAAATTCCAGTCAGGATTTAAACAAACAAAGATTTTAATCCGAACATAATGGCTCTCTAACAACAGGGTACTGAAGTGAAACTGTGCCCACCTTGACTTTTATTAATAGCCTTCCTTACTTGACTCTAGATTTACTTGGAGAAAACTATTCTGCTACCAACTAAAGCCGGCTTACACTCCATGAGTCCCAGGAGGATCAAAGAGGCCAGCCCCGTCATCGTCATGGAGAGAAGCAGGATGCCGCGGCGACCGCACCTGTCTACGGTCATCCAAAGCAACAGCCAGGCCCCACCGCCTGCACACACAGAGAGCAGGTACGTCCAATAGAAGCTGGGGGCGGTGCCCCTGACGTCACCTCGGAAAGAGCTGTAACAGTGACTAATGCCGTGAGAGATAAATCTGAGGGAGGAAGGGCAGAGAAACAAAAGAGTAAGCACTCGTGTTTCCAAACAGGTTTTAAATAGAAAAGATGAGCGAGCAAAGGTGAGTCTCGCAGCACTTTAAGCATGAAATATGAGGCAGCGGCAGCCAGAGCTGTAAATGAGACACTGCGCAAACACAAAGGAGTGACTCCAAACTGCTGCGTTGCTGAAATAATGTCAGGAGTGTGAGATGACTTACGAGGTGAAGCCGAGCACGCACATGTTCTTCCAGATGTTCCTGCTGTGGAAGAGCTCAGGGAAGGACAGGTGGGGCTTTGAGGAGGGGGCTGGCTCTGAATCCAGCTCTGCAGAGGAGAAAAGAAAAATGACAGTCGGGTAACACAGACGAGGACGGCCTGACCTGGTTCCTCGTTGATCAATCGCTCGCTGTCAGCTTATTACTAGGGGGGAAAGAGACGTGCAGGAGGACACGCGTGGAGTCTCAATCTGGCCATAAGGAGGCCATTTAATAAACCGTACAATTACAGTAGGCACCACAGTGATGTGTTCATTACATTAGCATTTGTAAGCTGTGCAGAAATGTTTAATAAAGGATCCAGAACATGAGACAATTTAACTGTAAGTCAACAGCCAGCTGTGAGGTTTAAGAGGAAAGTCTAAGAGAAAATGTCTCGTTGATGTCAGAGATCAGAGGAGTTCAGCCAGACTGCTCTGAGTTGATATGAAGGAAACTGAAGCTCAAATAACCGCTCATTACAACCAAGGTACGCAGAAGAGCATCTGAATACAGCTAAGAGCAGCAAACTGAGATTACAATTGACAAAGCTCAGCAAAACTGCCTGCTCTCATGGGACGGGATTTCTGCCGTCACATACAGAGGGACGTGTCCGAATTTGATGTAAACATATACACATCGATCCGTCCTGCCTTGTGGTGATGATGTAATGGTGTAAAGGATATTTTCTTGGCACACTTTGGACCCCTTAGTAGCAAGTGAGCATGCCTGAGTATTGCTGCTGACCCCGTCTATTCCAGAGTGTCTGACGGCTACTGATGGCTGCTTATCGCAGGACCACGTCACAAAGCTGAGAACATCTGAGAACGTCTCAGACTGGCTTCCTGAACATGAAACATGAGTTCACTGTCGTTAAATGGCCTGCACAGTCACTGCAGTCTAACAGACAAACATGCACGTTTGGCTTGTGGTAGAACTGGAAATTCGCATCGTGGTTGTGCAGCCGACAAATATGCAGTTATCAGCCAATCAGAAACACTGAGTGTGTAAAAGCATAGGACTAAGTGGAGAGAGAAATTCAAGGCCTTTAATGGATCATATGAAACAAATGAAACATGATGTTCTTCATCACCTCATACTGCTACACTTTTTCCGACTGCAGCGAGACCTCACTACAGAACTGTGTCCTTGATCTGTGTCTGCCGCTCACAGACGTCAGCTATAAAAACATACAGGGAGTGCAGAATTATTAGGCAAATGAGTATTTTGTCCACATCATCCTCTTCATGCATGTTGTCTTACTCCAAGCTGTATAGGCTCGAAAGCCTACTACCAATTAAGCATATTAGGTGATGTGCATCTCTGTAATGAGAAGGGGTGTGGTCTAATGACATCAACACCCTATATCAGGTGTGCATAATTATTAGGCAACGTCCTTTCCTTTGGCAAAATGGGTCAAAAGAAGGACTTGACAGGCTCAGAAAAGTCAAAAATAGTGAGATATCTTGCAGAGGGATGCAGCAGTCTCAAAATTGCAAAGCTTCTGAAGCGTGATCATCGAACAATCAAGCGTTTCATTCAAAATAGTCAACAGGGTCGCAAGAAGCGTGTGGAAAAACCAAGGCGCAAAATAACTGCCCATGAACTGAGAAAAGTCAAGCGTGCAGCTGCCAAGATGCCACTTGCCACCAGTTTGGCCATATTTCAGAGCTGCAACATCACTGGAGTGCCCAAAAGCACAAGGTGTGCAATACTCAGAGACATGGCCAAGGTAAGAAAGGCTGAAAGACGACCACCACTGAACAAGACACACAAGCTGAAACGTCAAGACTGGGCCAAGAAATATCTCAAGACTGGTTTTTCTAAGGTTTTATGGACTGATGAAATGAGAGTGAGTCTTGATGGGCCAGATGGATGGGCCCGTGGCTGGATTGGTAAAGGGCAGAGAGCTCCAGTCCGACTCAGACGCCAGCAAGGTGGAGGTGGAGTACTGGTTTGGGCTGGTATCATCAAAGATGAGCTTGTGGGGCCTTTTCGGGTTGAGGATGGAGTCAAGCTCAACTCCCAGTCCTACTGCCAGTTTCTGGAAGACACCTTCTTCAAGCAGTGGTACAGGAAGAAGTCTGCATCCTTCAAGAAAAACATGATTTTCATGCAGGACAATGCTCCATCACACGCGTCCAAGTACTCCACAGCGTGGCTGGCAAGAAAGGGTATAAAAGAAGAAAAACTAATGACATGGCCTCCTTGTTCACCTGATCTGAACCCCATTGAGAACCTGTGGTCCATCATCAAATGTGAGATTTACAAGGAGGGAAAACAGTACACCTCTCTGAACAGTGTCTGGGAGGCTGTGGTTGCTGCTGCACGCAATGTTGATGGTGAACAGATCAAAACACTGACAGAATCCATGGATGGCAGGCTTTTGAGTGTCCTTGCAAAGAAAGGTGGCTATATTGGTCGCTGATTTGTTTTTGTTTTGTTTTTGAATGTCAGAAATGTATATTTGTGAATGTGGAGATGTTATATTGGTTTCACTGGTAAAAATAAATAATTGAAATGGGTATATATTTGTTTTTTGTTAAGTTGCCTAATAATTATGCACAGTAATAGTCACCTGCACACACAGATATCCCCCTAAAATAGCTAAAACTAAAAACAAACTAAAAACTACTTCCAAAAACATTCAGCTTTGATATTAATGAGTTTTTTGGGTTCATTGAGAACATGGTTGTTGTTCAATAATAAAATTATTCCTCAAAAATACAACTTGCCTAATAATTCTGCACTCCCGTATAGTTCAGTCTTATTGTTAACTTTGATATGCCAATCATGTGTAGGTGGTGCCGTGAAGGATTATTTTATAGCATGTCCTTACAGCACATCTTTATCATCTTGTTGTGATAAATATAGGTCAGAGTTATGTAAGCCTCATCTAGCCTCAGGTGCTGAGATACTTCTCCAGGAGAGAAACACGGCCAGCAAATACATTCACATCATTTCTCTTTAAGACTTGTTGCTACATGAAACATTTCCGCACGTCATCAGTATTCCTGAGTGTCCTTCCTGCTAGCGTGACAGCATTACAGTAACCACCCAAATAAATCCCCATTTTAATTTGATCTGAACTGTAATCACAACAAAAGGGGATGTTCTTTGATCACTTTATCTGTGAATGAGAGCTCGACATAAAAGAATATGGACAAATTTAGGTTAAAAGCTTTGTGGGGGGTTTTAATACACTCAGAATGGACACATAAAATGTAGATTTTGCAACTATTAACAACTATCAACCTCAGTACAGCTAATGCTAGCAGAACACAGAGGTCACTGAACAGTGCAAAGTTGACACTACGTAGCTGGAAACATTTGACATGTAAACAGTGGCAGAGCTCAGTGGTCGCCTGGCCTTAGGCCATCTTTTAACAGCAAGTCATTACGTCCCATTATGTTTCCATTTTAATGCAGGAACCATCCGCTCTTAATAAATCATGAATAGTAATTGAGCATCATTACCGCTCTTGGAAGTGGTGCGTGAGAGGGTCATATACATTGAAACACACGGCCACAGTTATTCCATAAATACTGCAGGCTTCGTAAGCCGAGCGCCTGGCGCTGAACCCTGCAGTGAGGTAAAGTGGGAATTTGTTCTCCGTTTACAGAACGAGGATCTAACGTCAGTGCTGCAAACACACCTGTGAAGCTCTCGTCGTCCCTCACGTCTCTGTTGGAGTTTCTTCTCTCGCTGAATGCGTTCATGTCTGAAGATCGCTCCGACAGAAGGAGCCAGCGAGGAGATTCTGGAAACACCCCAGGAACTCTGCAGGAGGAGGAGGAATATACTTTAACTCTTTGATCTCAGGTGACCTTTACTCAGCACTAAAACTATTTAGAAGCTTTAAGGTTTTGTTGCTTTCACCTGAATTTGCTGCTTCAGTATAAAAACTAACCAGCGCGGGTCACAAAGAAGCAAAGTTCTATAATCCTCTCTTATTAAAACCTGCAATTCGCTGCCAGTAATCTTTTTATAATCTCTGATAATGCGGTATGTTACCCAGATCTGAGAGGGACTGCGGACCTTAAACAAAGGAGCTCTAATATGTTCTGACACCAGCTCAGTGTGAAAAGGGGATTGGAATCAATACCATCTAACAAAGCTTTTAATAAGTCAGCTGGCATCAAGGCACTACGCGAAACCACTCCCAGGTTCCTTCATGATTCAGAAAGTAAAAGCCTGAGTAAAAATAACAAGAGACACATTCCTACCCGTAGCTGAGAAAGAGTGTTAGTGGGGCGGACCCAGCTCCCAGCAGGCCCCTCCAAGATTGGCACCCGAGGGCCACGGCCAGCAGCAGCAGCTCCCCGGCTACAGTTGTCAGGCCAGCCAGCGTGGTGGCCATCAGCCTGAGAGACGGCTCACACAGCTCCAGACCTGAACAAACAACACAATGTCAAAGCTAACTAATCTTTTATTACACTTTTCAGATTCTGAAAGATTAAACATTTAAAAACAAGAGAATATAAATATCATGTGCCCCAAAACTTGGTTCCATTGAAATATAATGCAAGCTAGAAGAAGTAGATTTGATCACTAGGCCTCATTAGCGGCACAAGGAAAAGGAGAGAGGAATTACTGAATTGAGACTCTCTGAGATTTCAGGTGAAGTTCAGGTAGGTGACTGTACTGTGGAGGAAACCATCTGTGCATGACTGTTTGCATATTACAGTGTTTGTTCCTGTGTGATGATCCGTGGGTTCTGATGAAACAAATGACGCCCATCCTTCAAGGCTGAAACACTCACGGGTGATATACAGAGTAAGATAGACTCCCGCGCTGGCCGCCGCCAGACAGAAACGCATGACGATGAAGACAGAAGGATACGGGGAGACGCACACGAGCACCCCGAACACCACCGAGAGGGTCAGAGAGGTCAGGAGGGTCTTGGACCTGCCCAGCCTGCAGGGAAGCACAGAGATACAGACACATGATTAAAACTCAGCAAAGTAAGCAAACACAGATTCAAATTAACAGGGATAAATTAAAACACATGTACAGGAGCAGATGCACAACAACATAAATCACACTGTACATGCTGATAATGCAGCAGCTGCTCGTGTGCTTAAATATTAACACGGAGAGGGAATAGAACAGAAAATAGGACAGGAGTCTACTGACAGAGTTTAGACACAACAGGGAGCCACCCTTTGAAGTCTACACTTTTACAGCATCATTAAGCATTAATGCTGCCATTATACTTCCAGTTTCATGTAGTTTACCAGACAAACAAATTAATCAGAACAATTTAGAGCTCGCGAAGAGTTTAGAATAAAAAAATAAATAAAAGAAAGAGCCTAAGAAATGCTGCAATCACAGAGGCTTAGGGAAGCTGCGTTTCCAAAAACAGCTCAAGTGGAAAGCACGACTGTTCACTAATGAACGATTAGCCAGTTTTTGTTTGCTTGTTTAGTTTCTAACATGCAGCTTAGCAATGCTCCCTTTTCTTCTTCATGTGCCCCCAAGGAGGCACCATTAATTCACCGGTCTAAACAAACAAATGCTATGCTCAATTGGTCAGCAAATTAATGAGAGCTGTTAGCTGTGGCATCATCTCCCTCGCAGTTGCCCCCAAAAACTAGAGCTTCCCCTTCAAACGACACACACTGGTTCACTTGTGTGACTCATCCGAGGCCACTGAGCAAAATAAAGCATGCAAATTTAGCATAAATGTATTTGCCATTAATTGCTTGTGGGAGGTAAATTGTTTGTAATACAGCCATGAGATTTTCTTGAGTAAACAGCAGTATTTTTCCTCCATCACAAATTATATCTTACTGTGATAAATAAAAAGAGTTTATGAAATGGCATTTGGGCTGTTTGATAATAAATTTCTCCTTTGGCCTGAGGCCACAACTTGCTGTTGGATAGAGGAAGCACTGGCAGGCCACAGTAAATCTATAGAAAATTTCATTCTGCAAACCGTGCTACTTTTTCTGAGTGTGTCTCTGTGTGCTGCATGACGACTGTGAGGTAATGAAACTGCAAAGTAAGAAGAGGACAGAGAATAATGAGGAACAAAATGATCTGACAGCACAGATGTCTGCACACAGACGGGCTGGCTTTTATTGGAACATGTTCCCAGGAAGCATGCCCATGTGGGCCCACGGAGGGTAACTGTGGGTGAACTGTGGGGCTGTGCACAGAGCACGCTCACATTTATTGTGCACAGATGCCACAGCGGTGTTGTCCTTCAGGCTAGTTCATGGAGGTCACGGTTCAGTTTTGTCCTTTTGGGTCCCCACTATGGACACCCCACAGAGATGGGCCCCTTGTAGGTTAGCCCATAGCAGTTTGGGGTCCCTGTAAAGGGTTTTCTGTGGGAAACCCATAGTGGGCCTACAATGGGCCCCATTGGATGCTCCTCTCTGCTAAATGTGGGCAGCCCACAGTCAGCCCGCACTATGGGCTGCTTCACGGTGTCCAGATGTGCCCTACTAATCACCCCAGTACTCAGCCCACAATGGGCTGCCATTGTGTGCCGTGTGGGTCTGTCCACAGTGACCAAACAAGAAAGGCACAAACAGTCTCTCCAAACTGCCTCAGTAACTTATTAACTCACTTTTTGGCTGTATGTGTTGTCCTTCCGGCTGCTGAGTGTTCATTCCTGATGTTTGCTTGCCATGAAAAATAGACCTGCAGGAAACCCTGCAGGGTGTGTGTGAGCATACATTACCTGTCAGCGGCGTAGCCCAAGCAGAGACAGCCAGTCAGGACGCCCAGGATGAAACACACCTCCTCCACTGGGACCAGCCAGTACTGACCACACACCAGATCCCACTGTGGAGGGAGAGAGGTCTGTCAGTTAATATCCAATCAAGTTAGCAACAAGCAGTTTCATTTTCTTTGTAGATGGTTGGTCTTCCATCATTTCCAACAAAATCTGCAAAGCTTGTGACTGTTTAGTAACTTGTAACATTTCCTAATGGGCGTGACAGTAGACAGCCTAGCCTCCACTGAACTGCAATAAGCCTTCTCTGCTTTCTTCACATGCATTGGGTAAAAGGCCGATTTTAAAAAACATCCTGCAGAACTACTCAAAATGTGGGACAGGGAGACAAGAAATAAAAATGGTGACATCTGGTCAGCCTGGGCAGAGGTGCAGAATCGCCATGTAAAATTAGTGAAATAAACTGTTAGAAACAATGATCCCATTATTGTCCATTTTGAACCCAACTCCGAAGCAATATATTTATACACCTCACAGGTTCAGGGGACTGGTTGAATGCATCAGTTGTCAAAGATTGCTTCACTGCTGATATTTTGGGGGCATTTAGCAATAAGACACCTTGTTAATTATACTTTGCCCACTTAGTGCTTTGTCGCTTTTACGGTTTCATTTGGTAAATAATTGGCGTATTCAGCAAAACTGCTGAATGGCAGCACAAGACAGTACCTCCTTTTTTTCCTCCTGTCCAGTTGAGCTAAAGATGAATTAGGTTTGATTAATGGTTAGTACTGTACAACATGGCACCAGTGTGGAAGTCTCCATTCCTGTGTCGGACAAATTTATAAGCTGAAAAGCAAAAAAGATTTTTTCTTGTATAAAAGTCTGTTTCTGTGTAGTTTAGAGAAATCAGCCTTTGGCTCCTTCAACTCTAACATCACTAAACACTTTCGTAATTATTTGATGGGCTCACTCACTAGTTTCAGGTCATTAGAGGGAAAAATGCTCAGCTCAGGGATTAATAATTAACCTCACTAACCAATGGATGGCATCGAGGTGACTGCCTCCATCTTGTTTGTGATCTGTGTTTTTCTTTAACTCCCTGCTCATTTCACAGCATGTTATCCCCACATTTGTTCATTTAGAGGCTGCATAGTGTCTGCCATCTACTGCAGTGTAAGTATAAAAATAAAGAACATCAGCCAAAGTAATTAAATCTAAATTGTTCACATCCCTCGGTAATAACCACCACACAGCAGTGGAGTTAAAAGTGGCTACACCACCCTCAAAAGACAGCTCAGTAGCACAGTCTAATAAATGTATAAAGGGAGCCAGTACGCTTGACTTACTAATTAATAAATGTGTTATTTGACTAATTAAATTAACAAAGTCAGAGATTTTAGTTTACAAAAAAAACAAAGTTTTTTCTCTGACATTAGTTCTGGTCCATTTATGCATTTATGCAAAAATGATATATACACTCCCTGGTGTAAACACAGCTGTCTTACAATAGGGAAGAAAAGCCCATTAGACAAATACTAGAAACACAGGAAGATGTAACGACATTACACACATGCATGTGTGTGGTCACGATACATATAGTGGGTGTATTGCTATAATCACTCGTTAGCACCACAACAATAAAACGGTACGAGGTTCACTGAGTGGATTAGAAAACAAATGCCCGTGTGACTGCATGAAGCAGTTCAGCCACACAGAAAGTCAGCACATCTGTTAAAAAGGAAAAAAAAATAAAGATCTCTGCTCTCAGATCCGAGTTTAATCACATTAAGCCGAGCCACTGATTTGCATTTACAGCTGAGTCCTGCTAACGTCGCTTCTTGTTGGCTGCTGAAAGCAAAATGGTTTTAATGATCTAGAGGGAGACTGAGCAGAGGGCCGTGATTTTTTTTGTTATTTAAGCGGCCTTACATAATTGGAACCCGTGCACAGAAACATTAAAGCCCGTCACATAACATCAGCTGTCCCGTTGCTGAGACACGCAGTCACAACAGTGAACACCATGCAA